TCCTGGCCCAGTATGGCACTGTCTCAATAGCGGACACAGCTTTGATGGGCCCGCCACTATTGGGAACTGTCACTGTAGTTTCTGCAACTGTGGATTCATTACTCTGGTCTGCTGTGGAGCCAATGGAACGAGTTTTCTTTACAGGTCCAGAGGAACCATCAGCAAAATGTTGGCTACTAGAGTGTCTCTTTTCTCTCTCCTTCAGTTTGAAAGTCTTCACCAAAGAAGAGTCCCAATCCAGTGATTCATCAGTCTTGTCAAAGCTGATACTGGATAAAATGGACCTAGATTCATCAATGGTTGATAGTCTTTTGTTCCCAGCATTGCTGCTGGAGGGTTGGCCTGTGTTGAGAAAACCCAGAGCTGACTTTTGCTCCTCGCTTTTGCTGCCAGATGTGTCGCACATGAGCATCTCTCACATCAGCTAAATCTGTCATTCCACCTTTCCGCAGTCAGCTTCAGCTCTGTCTCCATTTGATTTCTACATCCACCTGATTACCTGCCTGCTTCAGCTTAACATCCAGAGCACTTTTCTCAGTCTCTGCTTTCATCAAAAGATCCTTGTATTTCCCCAGCTCGTGGTCAGTCCTCTACCACTTTTTATGGATATCCTCCAAGTTATTTGCCAACTGGATAAATTGGAGTTCATTTCCATCACAGGGAATTTCTGCCTGGCGCACAAGCTGCTCAAATAGATTCCACATATTCAGCATCGTAGTATCCATTTTTTTTTTTTATAAAGGTAGTGTTTCACCATGATGGCCAGGCTGGTTTTGAACTCCTGACCTCAGGTGATCCACCCACCTCGGCCTCCCAAAGTGCTAGGATTACAGGCATGAGCCACAGTACCCGGCCGTATCTGTTTTTTCAGTCAGCCCAGCCCCACCTGGGCCGCCCTTCACTTCGCCCAGTGCCTCGCCCCTTGTTTTTTATTTTGTGTGTTGTTTTTGCAGAAGCAGCATTCTAGATCCAGGTACCAGCTTTACAATAGTGATAGAAGGGGAACAAGACACCACGTCTTGCCAATGCCCGTCTAGCACGCGTGGAGTGCATCTACAGTTAAAAGTGCTGGTGGCGCCCCACTCCTGATTCCTGGCTCACATAGTGGTGCCCTGAAGCCAACAGTTCCTGTGGAAGCTGACTGACACTCCATGGTCACTTTCCTGATTGTTACAGAGGTGGCAGACATTAAAAAAAATTGGCAAAAATCGCAATTACTTTCGCACAAACCTAATACCTTTCTGCTGAAGCTAAGTCACCTGACAAGCTCCTGTGTCCTGCAAATGAGCCCTGACTGATATATAGAGTATTCACAAGTGAGATGACATTTTTTATTACATGATTTTATATTCTTTTTTCTACAAATAATAATTACCTTATTATCATTTGCTCAAGTAACTTTATGCTTCCGGCTAAGCTTCCCCACCTTCCCCACCTTCCCCACCTTCTAAGAGCTTCTCAATATACATTTTTACATGGCTGTCATCGGAGCTGTCAAATAATATTTTACTATTTCTCTGGAGACTCCCATTTTGGACTGTCCATTCTCCTGCCCTTATCTGTGAGGGTTGCCTCCAAGCCTGCTGCACAGTAATCATGCTGAGGCCTTCCTTTAGGGCAATCCTGGGAATTTCTTTGTGACATAATAAAAATATCTATTTGGTGTTTGCTCATGATCCTGGCACAGGGATCCTAATACCCTTGGAATTGTCTTTTTATGCGAATGAGATGATTCATCAAGTGGCCCTAGATAGCTTCAGGGTGGGGGCTGGTCATCAGAGAAACCAATCCCATGATTCAAAGGTTAGGAAGTTTGGCTCCACAAATGGCCAATGATTTCATTAATTTTGCCTACATAATGAAGCCTCCAAAAAGGATTCAGAGACCATTTGGGTTGGTGAACACGCTGATGTGCTGGGAGAATGGCTCACCCATAGAGGCCATGAAAGCTCTGCACCCACCTCTGCCCCCATAGCTTTCCTATGTATCTCCTCCATGTGGCTGTTACTGTGCTGTATCCTCTAGAATCATGGTAAACATAAGTAAAGCAATTTCCTGAGTCTTATGAGTCCTTCTAGCAAAGCACCAAACCTGAAGAAATCTAAGTAGAGGGAGAGGTGGGAAGGGATGTTTCTGAAAAAGCGTCTACTAAAATCAGAGCACAAAGAAACTTATCTGGGAACGTATTCATCAAGTAGGGAAGAGTGCAAGAAGGGGAGGAACTGTCAGCAGCCTGGACTTAGGGGTGCCCCAGCCCTTCCTAAACGGAAACTTCCTGGTTGCAGAGGCCAAAGCTTTCCAACACCAGACAGTGATTCTCCTAAAGGGACTGGAAAATGAGGTCTAGGCAGGACTGGAGACAGTATTTGTGAGACCCAGTGCAAAGCAAAAATGAGGCAACTTTGTTAGAAAGTGATGAAGAATTTCCTGAGATTGACAGCAAAGCATGAAACCAGAGCCCTTTGAGAGTGGACCTGCTCAGGAAGTGGATCCTGGCTGTAGGATACTTGTATAATAAGGAGCAATTAAGCTACTTTCTAAGCCCTAATGCGCATGCATATTAGAGAAGACTTCTCCATCACCCCTGAAGCTATTTTAAATAAGGCCTTGATTATCTAGGCTTTCCAAATAGATATTTCTGCCCTCCGCCCTGAAGATTTTCAGTATAGAAAGTTTCAAACATATACAGAAGTAGGGAGTACTCCCATGTACCCATCACACAGCTTCAACAATCATGCACTCAGGACCAATCTTCTTTCTTTCTTTCTTTCTTTCTTTTTTTTTTTTTTTTTGCAACAGAGTTTTGCTCTGGTTGCCCAGGCTGGAGTGTAATGGTGCAGTCTCAGCTCACTGAAACCTCTAGCTCCTGAGTTCCAGTGATTCTCCTGCCTCAGCCACCCAAGTAGCTAGGATTACAGGTGACCACCACCACACCTGGCTAATTTTTTTTTTTTTTTTTTGTATTTTTAGTAGAGATGGGGTTTCACCATGTTGACCAGGCTGGTCTTGAACTTCTGACCTCAGGTGATCCTCCCACCTCAGCCTTCCAAGGTGCTGGGATTACAGCTGTGAACCACTGCACCTAGCCTTGTTTTATCTTCTTTCCCCATTCATTGCTATAACCCTCCACTTAGGTTATTTTGAAGCAAATTTGCATAGGGAATTTTTTTTAAACAATTTTTTTTTTCAGTTGAAAGCATTAACTCTCCAGAGTCACCGTCTGTCTTTCTATGTTCTAAGTGAAGGGTGGAATAGATAGCACCTCTTCCCTTCTACTGATTTCCACTGCTGCCATCAACAAGAGTCAGACCCAATGCGATCTCATAGCTGTTCTTCCAAACTCATTCAACCTGGAGGAAAATAATTATTGATAGCATACTCTTTCATACCTTTCTGTACTTCAGAGGAACCTGCCTGGGTTTCCTCTGAAGGAGAAATCCTGGTTGTACTGTACAACTCAGGCCAAGTAACTTTTCACCCCTGGTGATCTTGCTTTCATCAGCTGATGCAGAATCTTAATCCAGATTCTCTTCTATGGATTTTCTTATATGATTCCCTATAAATTCTCATCTATGAGGCAGAGAAAAGCCCCAAAAGACAATTCATGCATTCCTTCATTCAGGAAAAGCTTAGGCATGCTGCTAGGTACTAGGATGACAACGGTGATCAAGACAGGGTCCCTGCATTCAAGCTTAGAGTCCAATGTGGGGTACAAACATGAAACAAATAATTGTAACAGTGATAAGTATTAACAGTGGTAACAGTGCACCATTTTGAAAACCCTCCCACTATTTTGCAGACCTTGGCCAAAGTGAATCATTCCACTGGACTTTGGGCCCTTAGAAACAGCCTGCCCAACTGCCTGCCTGACTTTATCACATTCTGCTGAGAAAAAGTCCAAGGAACGTCAGCATCACATTCTGCGGGAACAAGGGCCAACCTGCCTCGTTATGAGAACATCTTATCAACATCTTCCTGGGCAGCAAGCCATACTGCCCACACCCGTCCTACTTATACCTGCAAGTACCCTAGCCTGTAAGAAGTGGTGGGCTCTGGTATTAAGCTGGTCCTCCACCTCTATAAGTCTTATGCTGGACAGAAAGCCTGCATTTGATGTAGAACTGCCATTCCCTCTTCCTTTGACCCTTGCCTTCCTTTCAAAATGTTAACAATAAGTACATCTATTCTAGATCTAGCATTCAGTGGTATGTAAAATAAAGTTGTCCAAGAGAGCTGGGCCGAAAGCAGCAAGAAATGGAAGCTACCAGATCTTTACCACCCAATCCCCCATGAGTTCTAGTTTTATCCCAGGTGGAAGCCTCAATGCATCCCTCTTCTCAGCTTGGCCACCCCCTTGGTAGAAGTTGCAGGTCAAAATGCAGCTTTCTACTATCTCTTGATCTCTTTACTCTGCCCATATCTGTGTAAATTCTCCTCAGTTATCCATTTGGAGTTCTACCTGTTTCCTGCTAAAAACATGGTTGATAAAGGTCTGAATGAAGACTATTTACAGAAGTGGACAAGGTTAAGGAAACAGAAAAAAAAGAGAAAAGCTAGGGCATCCAGGTTTTAGTAATAGCATGAAACCATTATCATCACTAGGCCTAAGAGGGCAGGGGGAGGAAAACATATTACCATAGAATGGATGAGAGCTGGAGCCATGGAAGAGAGGACACCCATCAGAAGCTCCGTCATATAGAGACTCAGCCAGTGTCAACTGAGGCAGGAAGGGAATAGAAAGAACAAATATTCCAATCTCTCTCTCTTTCTCCCCATTCCTCCCTTCCTTCCTCCTTTCCCTCTCTCTTCTCCCCTCCAATCCTGTATAAACTCAATCGGAAGAGAAATTCAACTAGCATTCAGGTGATAAAGTCAACAGAGGTCAGCCTTCCAGGGTGCAGATCAGAACCAAGAAAGGCTGATTTAGAAAGCCAAACAGAAAATAATCAACAATCCTACCTCATTGTCAAGAGCACTTTTAAAAGAGAGTAGGTATCTTTTAAACTTTATTACAAAAAGTATGTGCTTTTTGGTAATACTTTTCTTTCTTTTTTTTTTTAAAAGATAGGGCACACAGCCCCAACACACCACCTTGCACATAGAAAATACTCATTGGTCTTCACTAGTGAAATTAGCAGTTGGTGGCTAAGGGCCAATTTGCCTGAACAGGCTACATAAGAACCTCAGAACCCAACCTATTGTGAAGAAACATGGGTTACTTCTGAGGTTCTAGAATTCCCAGACGCTCTGCTTCAGCACTGGGAGCTTTTGCTCGCAGTTCTCTTCATAGCTCTGTGAAAAGCTGTGCCCTGCACTAGGATCCCATCTTTTCCTAAATCCCAACGAACATGTTTCTCTTTCTAATGAGTCTTTATCTGCTTGGATCCGCCAGAGGTGAGTGTTCAATCTAGGCTTCAGGTAAATACAATAAGAGGTCTCCCTTAAGACATTTCAGTCCTTGAAAAAGGAAGACCAGTCTCTCATGCACCCAAACCAATCGGGGTCAGAATCAAGAGCAGCGAAACAAGTCCAACTCTGAGAGCTCCTGAGCCAGCTGATTTCTCTAGTCATAGCTTTACAGTCAGAGGGGCCCACTGGCATGGTGCAGTCTTGATTCTACTTATTTCAGCCACTCAACATTTATACCTGATGTGCGTGGGATGAAAGAGTAGGCCTAGGGGTTCTGTAGAAGTCCAATGAAGGTTTGTCCCACCAATTAAATGTGAGGTATCCTTGTGTCGTTAATGTGCCAAGGAAAGACAGGAGATTGGAAGATGTGAAGTATTCAGAAAATAATCTCAGAACATGACAGAGCTATAGGCTGGAGACCTCAGAAGCTTTTTCATGGCTCTGTTCTACCAATCCAGTTTTCTGTATCATCTCTTCTTTTGGGATCCCCCATTCATGGTGGGCTGTGTTGCCTCCTGCCTCCTAGAGACGAGGCCATGAGCTCTGAGCTGTTAGTGAAATAACAATGTATTTTCTATAATGTTGACTGTGAGACGTTTTGCTTTTGCTTTGTTAGACTTTCAAATGTTGACTCAAAACTGTAGATACACAGCCACCAGATGATGGTATGTGCCAGTCACATGGTGAAGCAAATGAGTCATAAACTGTAAGATGAAGAAATTAGCAGCCGAGTGTGCTAATTTCTTCATCTTATAGTTTTATAATTACAGGCGTGTGGCTCACGCCTGTAATCTCAGCACTTTGGGAGGTCGAGGCGGGTGGATTAGTTGAGGTCAGGAGTTCAAGACCAACCTGGCCAACATAGTGAAACCCTGTCTCTACTAAAAACACAAAAATTAGCTGGGCAAGGTGGCACACACCTGTAATCCCAGGTACTCAGGAGGCTGAGGCAGAAGAATTGCTTGAACCAGGAAGGTGGAAGTTGCTGTGAGCCAAGATTGCCCCACTGCACTCCAGCTCTAGGGACAGAGCGAGACTGTCTCAAAAAAAAACAAGAAAGAAATTAGCATGCTTTTCACACCTCCTTCCTATATCAGAAACATCTCTTTATCAAAACTTTTAATTACTGAATATTCAGTCAAGTAGATAGTATTTAAGTAATAAGTTAAAAAAATTAAAATCTCAGCTAGGCATGGTGGCTCATGCCTGTACTAATCCAGCACTTTGGGAGGCCGAGGCGGTTGGATCACCTGAGGTCAGGAGTTTGAGACCAGCGTGACCAACATGGAGAAACCTCGTCTCTACTAAAGATACAAAAATTAGCCAGGTGTGGTGGTGCATGCCTGTAATCCCAGCTGCTCAGGAGGCTGAGGCAGGTGAATCACTTGAACCCGGGAGGCAGAGGTTGCAGTGAGCTGAGATCATGCCACTACACTCCAGCCTGGGCAACAGAGTGAGACTCCATCTTAAAAAAAAAAAAAAAAAGGATTAAAGGTAGAAGAGACTGGTTAGAAAAAGAAACCATCTAAGAGTTTTGTAATTCCCAGTGTAAGGTGGGAAGAAAAGAAAACTAAAATTAATTGAGTACTAGGCAATGGTGCACTTCACAATTTATCTTAAATACTCATGACAGCTCCATGAAGTGAATATAAATGGTATGTCACAAGGATACAATTCATATATGTGTGTGTGTTTATATATATATTTGATAATGCCTAGACTTTTAAAATCTACGCTATTTTATCTTAATAGCTTATAGCAACTTTGCTCTCTGAACCCCCAGCCCACATGGACTGGGGATTCAGTGTGAAAAGTAACTTGACATTACCAAATACAGGTGACTTAATCACTCTGATAATTTTTGTGGGCTCATAGATAATCATCATCTTCTAGTTTAAAATTTATCATGTCCAAACATCAACTCTTCTACCCTTAATTTAGGTTACAAATACTGAGGTATTGAAAACTACTTGCTTTCCCTCTCTTTCTTCTGTCTCCATTCTTCTTGTCTTTCACCTATAGTGGAATGGGAGGGAGGGTTGGTGGTGGACTTCTGATTTCATCATTGATAGTACATTGACCTCCTGATGCTGACTTCGTCAGGGAGGCACATTCATTTTCCTTCAGGTTCTTTTGCTACATGGATGAGTGCATTCCCCTACGTAGTTCTTAATATTGGGGAACTTAAGATTCTTCCCTTCAATAACAGAGGTGGCCTTTGTGTGATTCACTAAACGCTTCTGTCCTACATGGTCTTTTGGGGTACTTAGTTGACTTCTCCCAACATCTGCACTGTCTTCAATGCCTGATCTAGGCCCATAGGAAAACTAGGAGTCTCATAACATTAGCCTAACTCCACAGGAAGCTCTCTCGGCTTCACCTTCTCTCTTCTGTTCCTTCTCCACCCCAGGAACATCAGGTCAGCCTGATGAGCCTTCTGGTTCCATAGATCATCAAGCTTCAGTTCAGCAACTTTCAGGTGAGTACTTTTCACTTGAAAACCCTTCTGATGCTGAGGCTTTAAAAGAGACTTCTTCAGGCCAGAACATTTTAAGTGAGCATGATTCCAGTGAACATGGTGCAAGTGAGCACACTGTGGCCGAGCACACTTCTGGAGAACATGCTGAGAGTGAGCATGCTCCAGGTGAGCCTGCTGTGGGTGAACATGCTGCCGGTGAGCAGCCTTCAGGTGAAAAGTCCTCAGACGAGCACGTCTCTGGTGATCAGCCTTCGGGTGAGCACAGCTTGGGTGAACAGGCTTCGGGTGAGCACGCCTTGGGTGAACAGGCTTCGGGTGAGCACGCCTTGGGTGAACAGGCTTCGGGTGAGCACGCCTTGGGTGAACAGGCTTCGGGTGAGCACGCCTTGGGTGAACAGCCTTCGGGTGAGCACGCCTTGGGTGAACAGCCTTCGGGTGAGCACGCCTTGGGTGAACAGCCTTCGGGTGAGCACGCCTTGGGTGAACAGCCTTCGGGTGAGCACGCCTTGGGTGAACAGCCTTCGGGTGAGCACGCCTTGGGTGAACAGCCTTCGGGTGAGCATGCCTTGGGTGAACAGCCTTCGGGTGAGCATACCTTGGGTGAGCAACCTTCAGGTGAACAGCCTTCGGGTGAGCGTGCCTCTGGTGAACAGACTTCCGGTGAGCAGTCTTTGGGTGAGCATGCTTTGAGTGAACAGCCTTCAGCGGAACAGCCTTCAGGTGCAACAATTTCAAGGACATCTATAGGTGAGCCACGTTTGGATGGGTGCCAGTCATTGACTTCAGGTGGGAAATGGGGAATACATCAAGAAAACCCAACTTTAGGGACGGAGTGCAGAAGAAAAGAATTGTTAACACTTCACCAATAGCTCTCTCAATGACTTTCAAGTTTTCTTCACCATCATACCAAGAGGCAGGACCTAAGTTTTGTGGGCAGTTTTGCCATCTCTAATGCTAAACAATTTGGAGGGCCCTCTTTAAGAAAAATAAATACAAAATGCCACTACCCCTCCAACTTCACTCTCCATAAGAAATTATGAACACAGCCCTTCCAGCTTCCTTAGAAGGGGCTCGCGGAAGTGAAGAGTTCTGAAGACTAACCTTCATTAGCTTTATGCTAAACCTGCCTCTTAACAAACCATGTTAGAATGCTGTAACTTTACAAATTCTGTAAAGAAATGTGTGCAGCTGGTGGTTTTATTTGAACATGGAATGTAAAGCTTTTTTCTGTTAGATCCAGAAATAAGTTCCTAGGCCAACTGCTAGTCTGTGGCTCCTAATTGTTTGTTCAGGGAAGGAAAACAAGACCCAAAGTTTGATGTCTCCAGCTATTACCAGACATAGTTCACATTTCACTCCATTGTCTAAGCATCATTATTATAAATTTTTGATATAAATTTATAATATAAATATAAACATTGGATTCAAACTTAGGACTGTGCAAAGCCCATAATCTTTCCACTTCTTTATGCTTTCCAAACTGGGGGATTAGCAGTAGAGATAGTAGAGGCAACATGGAAGTATTTCAAAGTGCTATTAGTGATCTTTGATAAGGTTGATTTGAAAATGGAGGACACAGACTCTTCACAGGGTTTGCAATATTAGAGCACTCTAACATAGCTTATTAATTGGTCAAATATGACTCCAAGTGTTTGTGCCTTGTGGGTGAGAGTATGATGGGGAGTACAAAAGGGAGATGAAAATCATACATATGTTTTGCTCCTATGGTGTCACATGACAGGAGGGCATCTAAAGATAAATGCCCAGGAAATCAGTTGGGATATGGACTGGAGTAAAAACATTAGAGAAATTTAGGATTCATCAGCAATGAGGGTCAGAGATGAAGAAAAATGAAGGAATTTCCTCTGGCACATGTTTATCAAACACAGGGCCCTCAGATCCCCAATAAGAAATGAATGTGTAGTATCCATGTTACCTATTGTCCATCACCCCTCCCAGATGTGACTCAAAGTTACACAGCTGGTCCAAAAGGAAATGTCATCATGTTTATCTTAAATTTTCAGGCATAATATTAAATTGCTATGCATGTGCTTATATGAATGATCAAGGAAAATGTCTTCGTGGAGAGGGAATCTGTACCACTCAGAAATCCCAGCAGTGCATGTTAAAGAAGATCTTTGAAGGTATATGGGGACTTCACGAGGCAATGTATGCCTGAGAACACATCAACTTACTAATGATAGGGGGCAGTTGGAGTGGCAGGGGCCCAGGAAAGAATCAAAGAACTTGAAGATTCAGAACTTTATTCTTTCAAGGACCAAGAACAGAATACGTGGCCGAGTGAGGTGGCTCACACCTGTAATCTCAGCACTTTGGGAGGCCAAGGCAGGTAGATCCCTTGAGGTCAGGAGTTCCAGACTAGCCTGGCCAACAGGCTGTTTCTAAAAATACAAAAATTAGCTAGGCGTGGAGGTGCATGCCTGTAATATCAGCTACTCAGGAGGCTGAGGCAGGAGAATTGCTTGAATCCAGGAGGCGAAGGTTGCAGTGAGCTGAGATTGTGCCACTGCACAACTCCAGCCTAGGTGACAGAGTGAGACTCCGTTTCAAAAAAAAAGAAAAAAAAGAAAAAAGAAGAAAGAAAGAGGGTGTAGTCAACAGTATCATGTGCAAGCAGAGGTAAAAAAAATTCCTCAAAAAAGGCTACAGATTAATGAGTAGATTTCTATGACCTTCGAGAGAGAAGTTTCAGTGTAGTAGGGTCATGATTCAGGGTGTGAGGGGCCAAGATGTGAATGGAGAGGAAGTGAAGGTGAGGAGGATAGGCAGACTCTGGAAAGGTAGGGAAAGAAAGGATAGTAGTAGGAGAGTAGCACAATTAAGAGAAAGTATTTTAAATTTAGGGGAACTTGAGCATCCTTGTAAACCAAAAACGAGTCTGTATTAAGAGATTGACAATATAAGAAAGGAAAAGGCAACTGATGGGGGGCAAGGTCCCAGAGGAAGCAAAGAGAAGAGAAAGGGAAGGGATAATATATAAGTGGAGGTCTTGGCCATCCTGCATGGGAACACTGAGGATCACAGATAAAGGCTAAGGTTGGAGGATGAAGCTTTCTTCTCACTAGTCTGTCTCTGCTCCTTTTAGGTGGAAAACTCCAATTCATGGTTCAAGGTTGTGAGAACATGTGCCCATCTATGAAACTCTTCTCCCATGGAACCAGGATGCAAATTATATGCTGTAGGAATCAATCTTTCTGCAACAAGATCTAGAAGCCTGGGCCCTTGCTTCTAATTTTGACTCAGGCAGCAAAAAGCCTCCATCACTCTGTTTGGTTCATTTTATATTTAGTTCTTTCCCCAGTCAACAACTGACCACATCTGCCTCTGCTTGAGCATTAGGATGCGCAACATCCTATCTTTCTTCCCCTATTCATGCTTTTATCCATTCTTCTCTGTCCGGTCTTCCCTACTCCAACTCTATCTCTCAATATTCCTGATGCTTTGATTCAATAAATTTCACACGGTTCAAGAACACAGGCTCAAGATACTTTTTTTTCCCATCAATCTAGTTGCAGGGTCAACATGAGCTTTCTTCCACTCTGACGCTGAAGTGGGTATATTTTGTAAGCATTCCATATTTATGGGCAGAGACAACAAAGAGGAATGCAAAGTAGGTATTAATCTTTTAAAGAGGTGTAAACAACACTGCAGGTACTTCTGACACCCCCACTTTTCCATCCCTGTATTCCCCCACACTCTTCCATTTCTTATGGCATATAAAACTCAACTTTTCTTTGGCTCTTGAGAGTTTCCAGTCTTTAGTAGTTCACTATTAACATAATGATAATAGTAAAATGATTTCTTATTTGCTATATATTGCAGCAGTTCCTAATGCTTAAATCAATTTTCACACACAATGTTACTTAATCATCTACGCAGGATAGGAGGGCAAATGGAAATACGAAATAGTCCCTCAACCTATGTAAGTGTTATGTTCTTCAGGGTGTTTCACATTTCATTAAAATGGTCTCATCTGATCCTCAGAAAAGAGCCCAGAAGGGCAGACAGGAAAGATGGCATCCTCCTTTTTTAACAAATAAGAAAATGTGACACAGAGATGTTTTCTTTATTCACACTCCATGTTGTTCCAAATTTACCAAGGTTACAGAGCTAGTGAGAGCTATAGGCAGATTACAAAACCAAATCTGCATGAGCTAAATCTGAGCTGTTTCCACCACACTGATAGTAGCCAGAATGGTTCTAAGGACTCTTAGAATAGGACAATAATAAGTCAATTTTACTGTATATAAAATTTAAAATTTCAACATATATACACATCATGGCCCCTTCCCCAAAATATATTCGTAACAAGTTCTTCACTGGCAATAATTTTAAGATGGGAGAAAATAGAACATCTTCAAATTTCTGAATGAAATGAAACTGGAAACCATCATTCTTAGCAAACTGACACAAGAACAAAAAACCAAACATTGCATGTTCTCACTACTACAGATATGTTCAAGAACCTAAAGGAAGTAAGTGGGTGTTGAACAATGAGAACACATGGACACAGGGGCCTGGGGAGTTCGGAGAAAGGGGAGGAATAGCAGGGGGTGGGGGGATTGGGGAGGGATAGCATTAGGAGAAATAATGTAGATGATGGGGTGATGGATGCAGCAAACCACCACCATGGCACGTGTATACGTATGTAACAAACATGCACAATCTGCACATGTGCCCCAGAACTTAAAGTATAATAAATTTTAAAAAAAGAAAATTTATTTTGAATATATAATCATATCCCTAGATAAAATAGAACAGAAGAATAAAATCCCCAAACCAGGACTAAATTCCCAAATGAATTTTTAATTTGGTCAGAAGACAAATAAAAGCCTGCCAATATTGTCAACACTATTTTTTTTTTTTTGAAGGGAGAAGATAAATAGTAATCTATTAGGTATAGGTGTTGAGGGAAAAATATAAGTTCAAATATGTTGTTAAAATTTATGGAGACAGGCATGATGGCTCACACCTGTAATCCCAGTGCTTTGGGAGCCTGAGGTGGGAAAATCATTTGAGACCAGGAGTTTGAGAACAGCCTGGGCAACACAGCAAGACCCCATCTCTACAAAAAGTTAAAAAATTAGCTGGGTATGATGACTCATATCTATAGGCCTACTTACTTAAGAGGCTAAGGTGGGATAATCACTTGAGCTCAGGAGTTCAAAGACATACTGGGCAACACAGTGAGACCCATCTAGAAAAAAAATTTAAGGGTGGGAAATTCTGGCTTTCATTTATCGTGAAATAATTTGCAGTCACCTCTTACAGATAACAATTGTGTGTTCTGGACAAAATATAAAAACGACTTGAAAGCTCCTCCAAAGGAACTGAAGAGAAGTCACCACTAAAAAGAGAAATTTGTGAGTTTATACTTGAGGGTACTTCTCAATCCATGCTTCATAGGCTGGCAAAAAGCCACAGGCTCACTGGTTTGAGGTTTCAGAGAACATAGGTTGGGGCTAGCAGAGCAGCTGCAAAATTAGGGGGTACTCCTGAAAAGAAGAGAACCATAGAGAAGCCCCCTCTGACCAAATTCTTGTTTGGTCACTGACTCCAGGAGGCTCAAAAAGAACAGCTGAAAGCTGAAAAAACAGGGCAGAGATTTTAGCTTCTATCCACAATGAAGGCGACAGACTTAATAGAACAAAAGTCAACACTCTTCAGAGGAAGATATGGAGTCCAGAATCGCTACAATTCCTCATTTACTATGTCTACTGTGTAATAAAAAATTATTAGAAAAAGCAGGGAACTGTGACCCCTACCCAAGAAAAAAAAAAGCAGTCTATTGGAATAAAGTGAACAAAGGCAATAAACAGCTACTACAGATATGTTCAAGAACCTAAAGGAAAATAGTGCCATATGAATAAACAGACAATAGTCTTAACATAGATAGTGAAACTATAAAAATGAACCCATGGAAATTACTGTATTTACTGTATTAAGAAGTGCAATAATTGAAAAAATCTCTACATGGTTTAATAGCATAGTGGAGACCATGTTGAGTCACCAAATTTGAAGAAAGATCAATAGTAATTATCAAATCTGAAGCCCAGAGAAAAAGAATTAAAGAAAATAAAGCTTCAACGAATTATGGAACGTAACTAATAATATGTAAGATACTGGAGTCAAGAATAGGAATGAGATGAGGCAGAAAAGGCATTTAAATAAATAATAAATTTTGCCAAGTTGGGTGAAAAACATAAACTTATAAATCTAAGAAGCTCAATGAACCCAAGGCAGGATAAATACAAAGAAATATACCTAGGCACATAATAAGCAAATTACTAAAATTCAAAGACAGAGAAAAATTCAAAACTGGTCTAAAGAAAAGATATATTACATATAGGGGAACATTGATACAAATGTTGACTGACTTGTCATCAGAAACAATGGAGAGTAGAAAACAAGAGAAGATACTTCCAAATAATGAAAGGAAAATACTGGTCGCAGAATGTTATCTCCAAGATAATAACCCTTCAAAAGCGAAGGGAACACATTTTCTTTCTTTTTTTTTTGAGATGGAGTTTCGCTCTTGTCACCCAGGCTGGAGTGCAATGGCGTGATCTCTGCTCACTGCAACCTCCGCCTCCTGGGTTCAGGCAATTCTCCTGCCTCAGCCTCCTGAGTAGCTAGGATTACAGGCACGAGCCATCATGCCCAGCTAATTTTTTGTATTTTTAGTAGAGACGGGGTTTCACCAAGTTGACCAGGATGGTCTCGATCTCTTGACCTCGTGATCCACCCGCCTCAGCCTCCCAAAGTGCTGGGATTACAGGCTTGAGCCACTGCGCCCGGCAGGGAACACATTTTCATATAAACCAAAGCTAAGAGAATTAATAACCAGTAGACCTATACAACATTGAGAGATATCTCTCCCGTTAAAATGGCTATTATCTGGGAGGCATCATACAACTTCAAACTATACTGCAAGCCTACAGTAACCAAAAGAGTACGGTACAAAGCACAAAAGCAGACACACAGACCCATGGAACAGAATAGAGAGCACAGAAATAATGCTGCACACTTACAACCATCTGATCTTCAACAAAGTTGACAAAAGCAAGGGGAAAAGGACTGAAATGGGACGTGGATTCAAACAAGCAACGGAAAAAGGACTCAATAAATGATGCTGGGATAACTGACAAGTCATATGCAGATTGAAACTGGAATCCTTTCTTGTACCACAAACAAAAATAAAGTCAAGATGGATTAAAGACTTAAATGTAAAACTAAAATGATAAAAACCCTGGAAGATAACCTAGGAAATACCATTTTGAACATAGGCCCTGGCAAAGATTTTATGATGAAGACGCCAAAAGCAATTGCAATGAAAACAAAAACTGACAAATGAGACCTAATTAAACTAAAGAACTTATTCACAGCAAAAGAAACTATCAACAGAGTAAAGAGACAATCTACAGAAAGGAAGAATATATTTGCAAACCATGCATCCAACAAAGGTCTAATATCCAGACTCTACAAGGAACTTAAACTACAAGAAAAATAAACATACAAAAATAAACAAAAATAAAAACTGCTCTCTGATATTAAATTTCAAAAAGTGATTCAGTGGAGGAAAGATAGCCGTTTCAACAAACAGTAGAGCAACTTAAGATTCAGAGGCAAAAAAAATTAAATCCAACCTAAGGTTCATACCTATATAAAAACTAATTCAAAATGTTTTAGTCTTAAACTGTAAATATTTAAGAAAAAACACTGGAAAAAATATTCAGAATCTAGGCTTATTCTAGGATAGATATCATAAACATGATCCATATAAGAAAAAATTGGTAAATTGGATTTCATTCACATTAAAAACTTCTGCCCTATAAAGCACCCTGTTGAGAGGATGAAAAGTAACAGAATGGGAGACTATATTTACAAATGACATATTTGACAAAGGATTAGTATCTAGATTACATAACTTTGAAAACTCAACATAAACAAATCTAATCAGAACACGAACAAAAGACATGAAGAAATATTTCACCAAAGATACATATATGGCAAATGAGTACATGAAAAGATGTTCAACATCATTACCCACTAGGGTAATGCAAATTCAAATCACAATGAGATATTACTACATACCTATCAGAATGGCTAAAATCAAAAATAATGACAACTCTGGTGAGAATGTGAAGAAACTCCATTACTCATATATTGGTGGTGAGAAAAAAAAAAAATGGTACAGCCATTCTGGAAATGAGAGGCAGTTTTTTCAAAAACTAAACACATGACTACCGTATAATCACTCCAATACATTTATCCCAGACAAATAAAGACGATATTCACACAAAAGCTTGTAGATATTTATAGCAGCTTTAGTCACAATAGCAAAAAAGTAGATATAAGAAAGATGTCCTTCAACAAGTGAGTGGTTAAACAATATCATGGATATCAAACAGCAATAAAAAGGAATGAACTTGACATACACCAACAACGTGGATGAATCTCCAGAGAATTA